ACCTCCCTCAGGAGACCCATGGCCTCTTATATAGCCCTCCCTCCAAAAAGTGGGTCCCTAGCATGTACAATAGTTTTGACCACTTCCCTAAGAAGATAGCTTGTGCCATTGGTGCAGTTAATAGCCTTCACATCTAAGCTTGCACTAAGAAAACTTTAAGGGATTTTCCCTCACGATATGAGATGATCGGAGGGACTCCTGGAGGATTCCTCTCAGTTGTGGTTGATTCTGTATATTTCCCATGAGTGTGTCCTTTAGGTTAGGCAACACCGGGTGGTATTGCGTTACAAAGGGCCGTATTGTCTTTCGGGCGGTTTTGTTTTGCTGTGCTAGTGGCGCATTTCTATGAGGGAATTGACCTCTGAGAAGCGTTTTTCTACACATCTAGCTGGGTAACCTTTATTCTGAAGGCGTGTTTTCAAATGTCCCATGATTTCCTCAAGAGTAATTGAGAGCAATTTGTCATGAAAGCCTTAACAGTGCTCCTCTGATAAAGCCTTTCGTGACGCTAGGTGGGTGACACGAATTGAAATTCTTTTGTTGAAAGGCCTCTGTAGGTTGGTTTGCACGAAGCTGCATGACAAGGATAGACTCCTGTGAAATCTGTCACCTTTGTACTCTTTCTTGTCCAGGAATTTAGTTTCTGTTTCGGAGATTTGAATTTGAATTTGTAATTTCGACCGTTTTACGTCCTGTTTCCCACTCGAAAAAAAATCGATAATTCCCGCGTGTAACCAACTTCCAACCTCAGTTCAAATTCCCTTCCCTCTCGCATTCTGACAGCAAAAAAAGTCTCATCCCAAGTCCTGCCAACCCTATGTTAGACCCTCTAATACTACAGAATAGGTTTTGGTTCCCGCGTTGATGTTCCCCTTTCGATGTTGGGAAATGGTAAAATGCAGACCAGTGTCAGATGAATAGTGCTCCGTCAACATGGCACAGGGTTAGAGGTGCGCGTAATGCATAACGAATGAAATTTTTCAACACTTGTGACGAGGATTGTGCATCATTATAGCCAAATCAATCAACGAAGCATTATTTCTCTAATGAGCAACAATGGATGGATAGATTCAGTTTCTCATTTCTTTTTTTTTCTGCCTTATCAAAATCAGGTATCTGAAGCCTCCTCAACCTACACGTCTGATACCGGTGGAAGACGTGAAAGTGGTTTCTCGTCAGAAGGTGAGGATTAATAATGGCATACTAAAAGACAAAGTGTTCGTTAGTCGAATTCGAGTGATGAACAAAATTCGAGTGATGAACAAATCAGACAACAACAAGTGGGAGTCCGATTTATTTAATCACGACCCAAAGTGTTATCTGTTTTGAGTGGGGTCCGCTCGTTACCTTCTTCCCCAGCAAGCTATTTACGATCCTCATTGACGGAGAGCCTGAAACAGGCTAGCCAGAGTATGATTGCAGACCGAATTGGACGACAAAGTCCTGTTACCTGTTAATCATAACTAAAAAAAGTTTGAGAATAATGCCAAGAAGGAACATTTAAGTGAAACTGTACTATAGCAGCAGGCGCAAAAGATTCCTACTGTCTAAAAACACCAGACATGATACGTAAACGTTCCAATAAATACACATGGGCGCTAATAACCAATCAAATTTGATAATTTCGTTATAAGTATTAATAGTTGTTGTGACATAACCCAACCTTACAATGTTAAACAATAAGAATAAGAACAAGAACAAGAACTAGACTAAGCATAAGCATAAACATAAGCATAAGAATAAGAATAAGAGTAAGTATAAGTATAAGTTGTCATCATCGCCTAAAAATGGGTAGCTTTAGTTTGAAGAAAAATAAATTTCTGTCAATCGATCTGACCTACTGGCGATCGACGCAACCACTGCGTTTACGATTCTTAAAAGCCTTGAATACGAGTTCTTGAAAATATTTTTGGTCCAAGGGCAACGTCAGTCATTTTGAAACTTCTCCTGGACTTGAAGTGATGTCTTTCGAATAAATGAAAACTTCATTCAGCAACTGTCCGCCATGTTTAAGGAACTTACGCAAACCACGATGACGACGGCAACGAGAACGTCATCAAACAAAAGGTTCAATGAGCAAAACAATAGCTGTGCACGTGCGTTATAAATCTTTGTACATTTTTTTACCGTCCTTTGCAAAATAACAACGTGAAATGACCAAATTATGCGTCGTGTACTGAACGTGGACGACGACGGCTAATTTTTCGTATTTCCATTTGGAACTGAACGCTGTCATTGCATGTTTAGCTTGAGCACGTTTTTAGAGCCATTGGCGCACCAAACAGATCTAGACAATCGCGTATTTCACTGGTAAAATATAAATTCATTTTTTACTAGGCGTCGTCCTCGGCGTCGTCCTCGTCGTTGCTTAAGCTCCCTAATTACTCGCCGAGATGGCAAAGATGGTGAGCTTAGTAACCAAGCTCTAGCGGGGTGAATATAGCGTGATCAGGAGCCATATGATGAGCTTTTCGACCAATCAGAATGTCCAATTCTGATATTCACCTCTGGAATTTATACTACTACCACTACTAATAATTATAATAATAATACAAGCGAATAAAATATATGAAATATATATTTGAACTGCGGAGAAAGATATGAAGACATGATTGATCATCGCAGTTATACACACACTTTAAGCAGCTGTGAAATATTAATAATAATAATAATAATGATACTCAATAAAGTTTGTTATTATAATTAATATTATTATATGGCTGTGTCTCACAAAGACTGGGAACTACCGAATTCACGAATTTGATTGGCTGGAATCGATATTGACCGCGGTCTAGATTTTCCCATCTAGACCGCGGCATCTAGCTAGACCGGTTTCATTTTGCGTTGAAAAAGTAGCAAACTACAATACAAAAATGTTCACCATTTTCTTTTATTTTCTTCTCAATCATTTATGGAGGTGCCAAAAAGCTTGATGACAAAAAAAAAGTAAAGAGGACGAGCAAATTTCGGCAGGTTTAAGTTAAGCTCATCGCCGTTCGCAAGCAAACTGTCAGC